GGTGAGTCTAGCAGGTGAAGAAAACATGCAGGTGAACACAACAGGCTTCCTGAGTTTAAGTATTGCTGTTTGTTCCTCAGTTCTGGAGGCAGAACCAGAGCTTTAAAATATATTAGCATCCAAAGGGAAACTGGAGGGAAAATGGGGACAAAGTAAATCCTCTGGAAGGGGGACGAGAAGAAACCTGAAGAGTTTTTGAAGAGTAATTTAGTGAATTAAATGTTTTTAAACCAATTAGAAACTGCTAATATAGCTTTCAAATGTCAAAGTCAAGGTTTTCTATCTAGTTTTACTGAGTAAATCTATTTAAAAAATGGCATTTTAAGCTGATTCTGACCATTTTTCTGGTTAGAGACACAGAGAACCTCTTTCTTTTTGTGAATTAAATGTTTTTAAACCAATTAGAAACTTCTAATATGAGTTTCAAATGTCAAATTCAAGGCTTTCTATTTAGTTTTACTTAATATAGCTAAAAAGAAAAGCAGACTCTGACCATTTTTCTGATTAGAGACAGAAAAGACTTCTTTATAATTGGTTTTTAAACCAATTAGAAACTGCTAATATGAGTTTCAAATGTCAAATTCAAGGTTTTCTATCTAGTTTTACTAAGTATATCTATTTAAAAAAGGGCATTTTAAGCAGAATATGTTCTCTCATTTTTGTGAATGAGAGTTTTTTTTACCAAATTATTTAAAATTCCTGATATAAATCTTTTTAGCAGGTTCAGATAATTTTTCTGATTAGACAGTGATTTTTTTTCTTTTTTGAGTTAAATGTTTTTAACAAATTATTAGAAATTCCTAATACAAATTTAAAATTCATGGTTTTCTTTTTAGTTTTACTTAAAATGTTCTTATTTGTTTTATCTTGTTTTCAAAAAGTAGCTTCTGAAGTTAAGAATTTAAAATTTTACCAAATGACAGAGAAAGTCTGGGATGGGATGACCAAATATGGAGAGGGGGCGGGGACTCGACTCCAGACTGGAGCTGATTGGACGGAATCATTCAGTGTTTGTTTACATTCCATTTGAACGTCTCTTATTTTGTTCAGTCTGAAAAACAAAGTAATTTTTTCTGCTTTTGTTCAAGTTAAAGATCTTTTTAAACGAAGTGGGCGGAGCCTGTTTGATCAGCCCACGGGAGCTGACCAATCAGAGTAGAGCAGCCTCTTAAAGGGGGCGTGGCCTGACAAGCTTCAGTTTGCAAAACACAGCTGGAGTCCAGAGAAGTTTAAATAC